GATGCGGTGGCATATAGCGATTCACCTGTGTGTGTGTTTGTTTGTGTGTGTGTGTGTGTGTGTGTGTGTGTGTGTGTGTGTGTGTGTGCGTGTGTTTATTGTCCAATCTCGCTACATTGACCTGTAAACACACCAACAAATTGACTACATTTTGGAAAGTCACTACATACACTCGTGTAGTGATTTTCCTAATGCCTTTAAAAATGCTCTTTTCTTCATATTTTGTTTGCTAGTCGAAAATTTTGAATATGTGCAATTTTCCATGTTAAACTGACGTTTTATACACGTCCCTGTTAACTGAATTTTTGATGCGTACACACTTTTATCCAAACGCGCACCTGCTACCGGTGTTATGGTAAGAATGTCCCGCGAAACGTCCACCATATTGAACTCGAAGGACAACGTGTTTTTTTTTTTTTTAGTTATTGAAAAAGGTTTAATATTTCGGAGATACAAGATATTACAGACGTATAAGGTAAATATATATATATTTTCTATGGACATTATTTGTCAGCTTTAGTTATAAAAGCTTCCTTTCGGGCATTAAATTAACATTCACTCAGGGTTCTCACAATCTCGATGACGCAGCCATGATCCAGAATTTGTTTAAAATAATCATGAAATACTAAAATAAAAAGATTCTATTTTATGTTATATAGCTAATTAAAATCAACAACAACTAGAATATTGGATGCTAATGCAGAAAACAAATTTCATTTGTCACACAATTTCGCGATGCCGCTTTTTATAAATAAAAAGGGTCACCAAAAGGAAGAAAGTTTTGTTTTGTTAAAAGGTGGGAAACAACATTTAAGATGTACTTTATGAATTAAATTTGCTTTAGATATTATTTACATTATTTGAGATGGAGATATTTGCCACTGGCCCAGTATGTGTTTGCCATACATATAATATTTACTTGAGGGAGGGAGATATGTTGAGTGAATCAATTAGTAAACAACAATGCATAATGGCCTGATGAGGAAAGGTTTTAAGGATTTATTCTTCAAATCTTATATTTCACTTTTTTTATAGTATAAAATATATAAGAATGGTAGGCTAAATTATTTGTGAAATATATGAAAAAGGGTCATCAGGTCTAGGATTTCATGATATTTATGGACTGTCCGTAAATTTATGGACAGTCTAGAAATTTAAAGATTTTTCAATCCATAAATTTACAGATATTCAATGTGAAATTTGCTGTTTTTAGTTTTACAATAAAATCCGCAGCTTAAGACAAGTTGTTTTATTGATTGTTTATATTTACAAAGGTAATGGGGTGGGTTTCATCTTTGTATGATGATTTTGAAATTTTTGTTAAAAGTGAAAATTGAAAGTCATCAAACTGTTCTGAATCTTAGCATACTGTTACATTTAATCATATAATACCTAACCTTATTCATTTTAACCTGCGGTTTTAAATTTTAATGCAACTTCTACTATCTTCTTACTTAAGATCTGTAAATTTACGAGGGGTGTCCCAGAATTACATGGACTTTTGTTGTAACTCAAAAAGTACTGAAAATAAAAACAAACAAAATTAAAGTGAACAAAATGAAACTTTATTGCATTAGTACAAAAAATTTCAAAGTTTTCCGGCAACTGGATCAGTGTCTGTGGGCTGGGTAATGAGACAAGGGGTAGCTGGTGCGGGGCAGTCCATTCCGACGTTACGACGTCATTCCGGTGGCGTCGCAAGTTGTTAATTAATGCGTGGCGTCGAATGTCAGTTTTTCTCAACATAGTCGCTGCCTAACTCAATACACCTATGGTGTCGATATATCCACTGATCGTACACCGCCCTGTACCACTCCTGGTCGAAATCAGCCACCACTTTCTGCATTGCGAACGAGAGTTCCTGGAAGGAATTGAACTTCCGTCCCTTAAGTAAGCGATATTGTACATATACTTAATCCGCAAATAATAATAATAATAATTATCATTATTATTATTATAATAATAATAATAAAGCATACTATTAACTTTTGTTACGATAATAGTGTTAAAGACGACGGTGATAATGCTGACGCCGTATTATTATTATTATTATTATTAATTATCATTATTAGTTTTATTATTATTATATTATTATTATTATTCTTTTTATTATTATTATTGTGGAGTTTATTTTGTACGCAAAGACAATGTGCGTTAACAAGGGAAATAACCTATCATGCGCACTATCATCTATGACGTCCTTGACTTCCTTAATTGACGCCGCAGTCAAGTTGACTTTCTCCCACGACCCTTGTCGCTCAATGTCCTCACGGCCGTCTCGAAAACGCTTATGCCACTTGGAAACGAGTGATCGAATAACAGGAGGTCTCACTTTTTCAGTCTCCAACATTTCCTGCGTCTGTGTTGGCGTCTTCCCAAGATTAACACAAAACTTAATGATAGTCCGATGTTCCGCGTAATCCGTGGACGTCATTTTTTGTTAAATATCCAAGAGCAACGGTTGTCAGTTATCCACTGGTAAACAATAACGGAAACAGCTATGACGTCAAAATTTCAAACGAACGTTCATATGAAGTCACTGCATATGCTTAAGACGTCACCCCATTTTTTACGTATAAATATTCATGATATACGAAAGTAAAGACAACTTGTTAACACAAAATATTGGACTGCCCCGCCCTGCGCATACTGCGTTACTATAGCGACGTAAAATATAGAGAAGCAATGTTAGAAATTTAAAAATAATGGACATATTCATTAAGGATATGTTAAAGGTATTGTGTACAAATTTTCTAAAAAATGCATTAAAAAATAAAAAAGTTATAGCAAAAGTCCACGTAATTCTGGGACACCCCTCGTACAGACAAAAAAATCTATAAAATTATGGATCGTCCAAAAATTTACAGACTGTCCGTAAATATCATGAAATCTTAGACCTGGTCATTGTGGTAATCTTAATTAATATTTTGCTGTTATAAGGAAATAGAACAGAAAAGATAATAACATATGTGAGTTTAGTAGATTAAAGTGTGACTGTATAGATCTCTATAAATTTTCATTTCTTTTTTAATTCACAATTTGGATTTTTTTTTTTTCAAAATTATCACGGTGACGGACCCATTCACAATTAAAGGAAATAATCGCTTAATAAATATATCATTTATAAAGAAAAAAAGCAAACTATCATCTGAAAAATAATAATTAAATTTAATGAAATTTATTTTGAAAATCTTTTTTGGGGCTCCATTGACCAACTAGAAATAATGTAGGCCCGAATTGACCAATTTTTTGCCAAAATTGACATGGGACTGTGTTGAATTAAATTTGACTAGAGCTAGCTGCATTCTTGCAGCAAAGACGACTAACATAGTTTTGATGTTATTTTGGGTCTTCTACTTTTCCTGACTTAAGTACGCAAAGAAGATTTTTTAAAAATTGTACATTTGAGATTATTGAAATACATGTAGATAATTGTGTTTAGCTTGTCTCACACATGGTTCCAATAATTATAAGGTATACTTGGTTATACATGGATTGATTGGTATGAGTTTTCAGCTCCAATTGTGCCTTGGGATTAGTTGGCAAGAGTTACACTTGAATGTAGTACAAGAATGTACAAATAAAGCACGGATATACTCGGTCAAGTAAGGTTTGAAAATGATTTGCATAGAATACATATTGTTGTAAGGCTCCAAGTAAGGTCTTATAAGTACGGTCTCATACAATTAAACAAGATTTTTACTTTATTTGCTAGAGTTTCATAGGGTTAACATAAGGTCCTGCAGAGTTTTTATCAAATTATTACATATTTGTGTATGTTTTGATATAAATTGATCCATTTTGATGGCTTCAGGCTTCATAAATTTTCAAACTAAAATTCAATGAAAGGAACACCCATATCTGCGAATAACTGTTATATAAAACAATGCAACAGATGACAGGATAAGAGAATTAGAAATCATGATAAGACTGATAGACATTGTTGTGTCCCCCAGCTCAGTTAGCTCACCAGGCTCGACAGTTTCACCGTCAGCAGGCTGAAGTGATCGGTGGGCCTTGATGGCCCTTGTATTATTTCTGTGCGTGGGAACCTTTTTCTTTGGATGCATTCTAGGTTGATGCAACAAGTACTCTGGGTAGATCTAGCAGTTGAGGGTGGCTGCGCAGGTAGTTGTGGCTTTCGTTGTACAGTTTGTGCTGACGCAGATGCCATGTAAGACAGAATATACAAGGTGATGCCGTTTATACTCGTACTATACCGTGTCTGCCATGTATGTTTCCTACTTGAACCGTATTGGTCATATGGTGATAGTTTGAAATCATATGTGCACTTGTGTAAATCGCACCGTGATCATGTGACATTTGGGTGTTTATCTGGTGTTGGAACAGGATTTAGGACTTTGGGAACGATTCCATGCGATTTGTATACGATTTCAGTTGACTTTAAATACGGTTGCATATACTGAATCTCATACGGGCTATTACGATCTTGTACAGTGGCTTATGTGACACCCATATAATTGTTTTAATATTTTCAAAAATCATACACAGCTTACACTGATACACTTGAATGGCCTCGGTTGGTTCGGTCATATGTACGGTTTACATGAGTGGCCAAACGTATAAGCTGTGTGTTCTGTGTGAGAAGGGCTTTACACAAGGTCAGGTGCAAAACTTGAACATTAAAGCAAATGAAACTACTATCTGTTGCATCAGGGTCTTTCAAATAGATTTGAAAGACCCTGGTTGCATATTAGACAAATGTCTCACCTGAGTTATTGATTTTAACTAATTTCAATTTCCTTCAAAAGAGTAAATGTATTTAATTGATTTAATTTCTTGAGTTCCGATAAAAAAATATTGTATTTTAATTTATTTTTGTAAAAATTATTTATATATGTACATGCATGTTATCTCCTTTATAATTTAATTCAAAAAATATTTCTGAAATGGATGGAATTCTTGTCTGATGTCAACCAAAATGTACATTTCAAGGAGTGTAATGATTATATTATTTATAGATGGCCCTGCAGTGTTTTTACCCCCTGCTTTGGGGAAATGGTGCCAGTACCAGACAGATTGTGATGGTTTAACTCAAATTGGGAATTTTACATAAGATGCAAAATATACATTGGGAGTTCCTTTTATCCAGGAAAACATGTATAATATGCATAATATACACTTAAAAACCGTGTATTATTAACTTCAATGATCTTTTTGTTACTTTAGGTTGAAAAAAAGAAAACAATTGTACATAAATAATATTTAGGTGTGAAACACTAAAAGTACGAAATGAACTGGGTACGAATATGGAATATGTGGTTATACTTGGTTATTATCCTATATCACTTATCATCATGGAAGCATCCATAATATACTGGTTTGTTTAGCTTTTTGAGGAATTGTCAGTGTTATTTTGGGCTCTTTGCAGATATGAAATGGGAATTTGCTGTCTATTTTTTCTTTTGGGAACTATGCTGTTTTCTGGTATAAGTAATTTAAGGGAAAAAAAATGTTAACAAGGTAGATATGAAACATTGTCATTGATATTATTTAATGATCAGATGATCAAATAATACGAACCAAAAAAAAAGTTTCCTTTTAAAAGGAAAGGCTTGCACAGTTGTGCCTTCATCCCAACCCTTTAAAATTGTTTTGTTTTTTTTGTTTCAATTTATTATCACAATTTTTTTTGAATTACGGTATTTGAATATCATAAAGTTGTTGTTTTTTTTGTAAAAACGAATATTTTTTGTCAAAACGATTTGAAATCTATTCTCTATAATGTATAAAACTTATAAAGAAAATAATCAATCATAAAAATACTAACTATTCTATCATACTAAAAAAGGAAACAAGTGTGCACATTTCATTTCCAGAGAAATCATTCGTTTTGGCAGTTGCTAATTTCATTTATATAGCATCTTTATGGACAAGTAATTTGCACTAAAATACTTCGTTACGTGGTACCAATTAATAAGCATGTATCAACTATGTTACACGACCACAGATACGATGCGCTAACGTGGTAAGGTTAATGATATGCATGGGCTATTTTTAGATTACCTCACTGCGTTCATTAGATCTAAATATAACTCGATCATGCACTAATATTCTGTGTGATTTGGTAAGCAAGACCACCCTTTGGAGACGTAACCATCCTTTATTGTATCAGGTATATATGTTAATATAGTCGTACCTGATTGTATATAAAACTAATAGTAATACAGACAAAAACAATTATAAAAGAAACAAACTTTTGCGTCTTGAAAAAGAATTGAAACGGAACAATTTCGTTTATAATTTATTACGGTTTAAACCGATAAATCAAGTAAAAATAGAAATCCTATTTATATAAACAAACTGGGATTACCGAAGTAACTAAAATAGCTTAGATTTCCGTAATATTACTTCGTCTGATTCCGCAGTATGACGGAATCGCCCGAATTGTCACGATTGCAATCGGAACTACATCGGCTATAATCATTAAACCGAAGAGTGACGGAAAGGGCCAAAAAGTTGCGATTGGCACGATTGCAGCTGGTGTCTCGTTCAATCATGCACTAACAAATGTAAGCAGGAAACCACCTTACCGGAACAACTTTTTCAACCTGTACGAAATTTTGGCACGGATTCTGGGCGGAATTGGCACGGAATTGGCACGGAATCAGTGATTTCTGGGCGGACCAGGGACGGAAACGCAAAATCCGTGCCATTCTGTCTCACAAGAAAAATATTTTGTTCACTTTTCTGGGCGGAAAACTAGAAAAATTCCGGCTGGAATTTTATTTTGAGCAGAATTTATACTTAAACATTTCATCTTGGACAGAATTTTCAACTTTGAAATTTTTTGGGTAGGAATAGTCTTCACTACGGGCGGAATTCTATACTTAAACATTTTTCTTGAACAGAATTTCACATATAAGATGTCCAAAACATAATTGTACTCCTGTTTTTGCACTTGCAGACATTGAAATTTTACCTACTGTACTTATTTTTTTTGCTGAACCAATAATTACAGGTGTATTTTTAGAATTAATATATTATTTTTTTAGACATTAAAATAGGCCTTCTTTTTAGATAAAAAATGTGGCATTAATAACATATATTGTCAGACTAATATATATTTTTTGTACTGAAAAACAACTGTAATAATCTTAGTGTAGAATTTGAAAACATTCACCTCCAAAATGCTTAAGTTTATAATATAAAGATTTTTCATACAGCTTATATTATAATACATTTACTGTATTATGAATTTTAAATATGATTTAAGGACATCATCTAAAAGCAACATTAAAATAAGAATGCTTTTTAAATTTGAATATACTATAGAATATAGGGCAGTCACATAGGGACAAGATTATGTGTGCTTGCCATTTTAAATTCTAAGAATTCATGATTTTGTTATAAAAAATATAAACAAAACAAAACAGTGCATGAAATAATCTCATATATAATGCCCTTTTAATCTATTTAAAATTGATCAACCAATATGCCCAATAATTGCTTTTATTTACCGTAGGTAAATAAATACTACAATGTATATTCTCACTGAGATTATATTCACCCAGATTTTACACTACACAGATCAGAGCTCTGATAAAACTCTACTGACCAGCAGTTTCCCATCATCTACGCATGACTGGCCATTCCAACAGATCAGGTTGTTCCATGTAATTATTTTGGGGAGAGATAACATTATAAATTGCATATGTAGAATTTGTCTAGGACATATTGCAATTTTTTTTGTACAAAAATTTGTAATTGTTTTTTAAAATTTATATATATCTATTTGTTATTTGATTTTTCTTTTACATTCAATGAATGAAAGTTAAGATGATGAGTAAATTAACCCTGTTTTACATAATGATGGACCGGTCCATTATACAGTAAACTAGCTGTTGTGAATTTTGAATTCTAAGCTATCTGGGTCAGCAAAAAGAGTGGAGGATGTACTTGATATTTTAACAATTTTGGAGTAAAGTTTTGTTTAAGATCTCAAAGTGTTAAAGTAATTGGTATGATAACATGGGACAAGGAGATGTATAACATAATCAGGTAATTATTAACTTTTAGTTACATTAATTTTATATGACGACTATCAATACTAATTAGCCAACTAAAATTTGTAACAAGAGGTCATTGTTGTTTAAGTATTTTCAACTTCATACATTTGTTTTTTTTTCTGATAATTGTTTTAAATCTTTAATACATGTATAATTTGCAAGTTAAAATTATTCAATGATTTTTTTGTTAATATAATGGTTGTGTAAATCTATATTGTATAAATAGCATGTAAGTATATCTTTTGCATTTCCTGGAAATTAAACAAATTAAATAAATTTGATTAAATAGGACTAATTAAATGGTACAATCAGTAGTTTTGTACAGTTGAACAGGGTCATCATAATCATTTATTATTTTACATGTTTGTGTTGTCTTTCCTATGGAACAATCTAAAATTACATTTTACACTCATAATTTGCAGGCTGCTCAGGGACTTAAGTGCTGACTGTGAGATGCCAGGTGTTTAATAATGATGTGCAGTATTAATCCTGAAAAGGTATATTTTTAAATCTCTATACTTAACTATTCAACATCTTTCCTTGAAAAATACATAACCAGTATTAAAAAGTGTCACACATAAAGCAGACAGTTAATTCTTATACAGAGCAATTCTTAAACACTTGTACACTTGAATAACTGATTCTGTGTTGCTTTACTATTTTTGAATATGCTTTATAAGCATAGTTAATATTTAATACTGTTGAAACATAAAATTTGATATTATTAAAAAATATAAGATATAACTGCATATAATTCTGCAATAAAACATAATTGAGCCATGTCATGACAAAACCAACATAATGGGTTTGTGACCAGCATGGATCCAGACCAGCCTGCGCCTCAGCGCAGTCTGATCAGGATCCATGCTGTTCGCTATCAGTTTCTCTACTTGTAATAGGGATTGTAAGCGAACAGCATGGATCCTGATGAGACCGCGCGGATGCGCAGGCTGGTCTGGATCCATGCTGGTCGCAAACCCATTATGTTGGTTTTGTCATGACATGGCTCAATTCATTGCAAAATATTTGTTTAATTAATTATGAATTTTATTATTACAGGTGAGCACAACCACAAGAAGTTCTAGGAAACACAGGCAGTGGACTTAAAACAGACATGGATTAAAGAAATAGTAATTTAAATAATAAGAAACATTTGAAACAAATTTATGATTGAAACACTTCCAGCAAAATAATTGCAAAAAAAACCAACAAAGTGTTGGATTCTAAGATTCCAAAACCTACAGCTAGAAAAAAAACTGTTTGTGTTATAGTGAATGTAGGGTATTCTATTCTGTATTTGGACTAAAGGATATGATATTTTTTTTATTAAATTTTGTGAAAGAAAATTTAATGTGATACATTATTGATAATTTTATCCCAAAATAATTATGTGATCATGTTAAACTCATAAAATTCCACCCCCTAAATTCTGTCCTAGAATTCCGCCCAGAATCTTGTTTGACAATTCCGCTCCGAAATTCCGCCCCAAGGTTCCGCCCCAAGATTCCGCTTCAAAATTCCGCCCCAAGATTCCGCTTCAAAATTCCGCCCAATTCATTTGCATATTTCGTCCCAATTCCGCCCAGAATCCGTTCCATTTCCGCCTGGAATCCGGCCGGAATCCGTGCCAAAAGCAAATGGTTTAACACTTGTATATTCGGGGGAGAATTTAATTTTCTGGGCGGAATCTGCCTTTGAATTCCGCCCCATTTCCGTGCAGAAAATTTCGTACAGGAAAACAAATGGGCTTGCAGCCGTGGCTGCAAGCCAATAAACTTGCTTTCTTAAAAATGTTTATTATAGCAGGTTTATTAGAACAAATTTATATTAATAACTTTAAAAATAAATCTTGCAGGAAGAGGTGTCAAAACAGGAGTAAAGAAAAAAGAGGAATAAAGGTGATTTTGGAGAAACTGTGTCTGCAGATGAGGGCAAAAGACGAGAAGTATCATTGTCTTCTGGCTACAGATTCTTTTACAATTTTAGAGGCTCAGCATTTTGGTATAAATTAATTTCTCATGTCATTTTCTTTAAAATCCATATTATAATACTGAAACATAGAATGATTTGTATTATAATGGACTAATTATCAAATGAGTTTTTCTGAGCAATTACACTGTTATCTTTTGAGAATAAAACACATTTTGGTTCAGATATTCTGATCTTTCCTGGGTTTTCATGGTACTCTTCATGTATTTAAGCCAACCTCATAAGTCCTTTTCTGCTGTTTTATTGATTAGGCCACTGTCTCGGTTGAGTGACTAGTGCTTAAGAGCTCCTAGTTTGAATCTTTTTTTTGGGAGGGGGGGTCAATAGTATTCTTTTACATTAATACGGTTTTGTGAATAATAATATCTGTCATATTTTGCGGTTCGGATCGGAATATCCGTCCCGAGGTGATCCGCCTATTGGGCGGTAACGAGGCTTGCCGAGTTACCGCCCATGGGCGGGTGACCGAGGGACGGATATTCCGATCTGAACCGCAAACATATGTCAGATATTTTTTCTTGCATATTCTACCATATTCCATTATATTTTAAATTCTTTATCTTTATTTTCAATGAAAATTTATATCATTACAACCGTAACTTAAACAAATGGGCTTGCAGCCATGGCTGCAAGCCAATAAACTTGCTTTCTTAAAAATGTTTATTATAGCAGGTTTGTTAGAACAAATTTATATTAATAACTTTAAAAATAAATCTTGCAGGAAGAGGTGTCAAAACAGGAGTAAAGAATAAAGAAAAAAGAGGAATAAAGGTGATTTTGGAGAAACTGTGTCTGCAGATGAGGGCAAAAGACGAGAAGTATCATTGTCTTCTGGCTACAGATTCTTTTACAATTTTAGAGGCTCAGCATTTTGGTATAAATTAATTTCTCATGTCATTTTCTTTAAAATCCATATTATAAAATTTCCGGCATGGTAAAACTAACGGAAACGCCAGTCTGATATGCAAGAATTTGTATTCATAATAAAGGTTTATTTCACAATATACAGGTATAATATGTTCAACTTGCAAATGCCAGCTTGTCAAAGTTATTTATTGAATTTTCTGTTTATTATATACATTTGTCTCTTTCTGATATCACATTTAAAAAGAATTTCCCTTAAATTTTGTATATTGGCTGAATATGTTTCACTGCAGAGAAAATACGGAAAATATGCTTAACAGCAGTGAAAATACGGAAAATGAAAATACGCATTTCATTCATCAATATTTCTCAATATTTAATTAAAAAGTATAAAAGGAAAAACTTTTCTGAGTTTCAGTCAATATTATATGTCATTTATAAAATTCTCAATGAATCTACATATAGAATCAAAAGCTTGTGAAGTTGAAATGATAAAAAAACACAACATAAACAAACATAAATAATAGATTTATAATACTTTGGGTCGAGGTCAACCACAATTAAGGGCGGTATAGGGTACCAATATATTTTTGGAGAGGAAGATAGTAATTAAAAAACTTTAAGGTAGAAAGCGACACTTTGCGAACTTTCTAGTTGCGTCTTGAAAATTGGCATGCAGAAAGTTGACCATATTTCTGATTAGGTTCCGTTGATTTTATTTCAATAGTTCCAGCCAATTTTTGTACACACGGCGTCAAAGCTGACCATCAAAGCCCGTTTTTGAACATGAAGTTGTTGTGTATCCTTGGCAACTGTTACGGGTAATTCAACGCCATTGGCGGACAATTGTCTTAAATTCTAAAGCATTCAACGGAAATTATTTTTCCCTTTAAGCTGATTTTAAAATTTATCCTTTTACGCTGAAAAGTATTTGAAAAAATGGAAAGAATACTGTAAATTTTAAATTGTGTGAAATTTGACGTTCAGTTTAGCCGCGTTT